AAGAGAGGGGAGGGGCTGGACRGAAAAACAGAGGGGGAGGGGGCTGACGGCTCGGAGTTGGTGGCTAGGGCAAGGGGAAGAAGAAAATATGGGAATCTAGTGTGTTTTCTTTTCTTTCTTATTAATTTTCTTTTTCCTTTGTTTTAAAACCAAACCAACCCAAAAAACCCAACATAACCAAGCCCAAGAGCAAAAGAAACTCATCCCAACTTAAGATAAAACCAACCACACGGAGCCCGATATATATAATTTAATTAAAATTTCATTTAAAAATTAAATGAAAATCTCCTGATTCGAGACTAACTAACCTGAGGGACTCGGGGCGTTACACATTTAATCTCGTATCATTAGAGCTTCTACTTCGTATGTCCACTAGGTCCCCCCACTAGCTCACAACGGGTAAAACAAGGATCAATGTTTTTTTAAAGAATTTGAATTGTTCAATTTAAACTTTATAATATGAGAGTTATATTTGAATAAGATTCAACAATGATTAATATGAATTAGATTAATTATAGGTTAAATTAATGTGTATGACATTCACATTAAAACTATAGGTTATTAGAGAGATATGCATTTAATATGATTCAAATAGAGTATTAATTAAATATGTGATATTTAATTAAAGTTAATTAATAAATTTGATTAATTAATTAATTAAATTAAATCAAATTATGATTTAAATGATCCACTCCCTGGGATTTTGTAGGGGAGTGATGAGGTTACTTCCTCCCCACTCCTCCCCATCCCTATAAATGCATTTCATTGCATTTCGGGATGGATGATGGGTTTGGGGTTTTTGTTAAAAACCACAACTCTCAAGTTAGCTCTCTCTCTCAAATCCAAACTTCGCTCACTTTCAAAAGTCGGTTCCCACAAACCGGTCCTTGCCAAGAGATTAGGGGGAAGGCTTTTTGGTGGTGTACGAGTTCTACATCGTTGTTTTTTAAGAAGTGTCTTCAAAGGAATGTTTCAGTACTTCTGTTTTTATAATGCTTATATCTTTTCTTTTTTGTATTTCTAAAACAAAATTGAAGCACAAGCTTTCACGCACTTCCACCATGGGATTTGATCCTTTCACTTGCACCACCATGTTTCTATAGAGTTAGTAGAAGGCAACAAAGCGTTTCAATCAAGTAGAAGGCAACAAAGCGTTTCAATCACTTCTAATTTTTTGGTGGCTCCATCTTGAGAACAACTTGGATCTTGTATGGGTTGGCTTCGATTCCTTGTTGGTTGACCATGAAGACGAGAAATTTACCCGAGGCGACTCCGAGGACACACTTAGCTGGGTTGAGCTTCATTTGATACCGATCCATGACCCCGAAGGCTTCATAGAGATTTGCAATATAGGAGCTGGATTACTTACTCTAGACCAACATGTCGTCAGTTTCACTATGCGTTTATTACTCAATTCAGTGTTCTTTCATCCAAAGGGCATCACTTTGTAGCAGTATAACATTTGGTCGATCACGAACAATGTATGTTCTTGGTCAGGGACATGCATTTTAACTTGGTTGTAACCTAAGTAAGCATCCATAGTTGTAAATAATTCATGCTCGATAGTGGTGTCGATGAACTAATCTATCTAACGTACAAGGAAGCTATCCTTCAAACAGGACTTGTTCAAGCTCGTAAAGTCAATGCAGACACGTCATTTTTCGTTAGCTGCATTTTTTTAACTAAAACTACGTTATAGAGCCACATGAAATAGTGAACGTATTTTATAAAATTTGCTTGTAAGGGCTTATTAACTTCTTTACTTATTACAAGATT